CCCCCCCCCAACCCCACCAGTATTCCAACATGAGCATTTGGGTAATGGTGCCAAATGTGGTCCAGTGAATGAGAATTCATCCTGCACATCATATATTTACATTACGATTCATAACAGGAGCAAAATGACAGTTATGAGGTAGGAAGGAAAATAATTTTATGATTGGGGGTCACCACAACATGCAGAATTGTGTTAAGGGGTCACAGCATGAGGAAGGTTGAGAACCACTGCTCTAGAACATGGCCATATAGCCCGAAAAAACCTACAACAACCCAGTGATTCCGGCCATGAAAGCCTTCGACAATAAACCCATCTATTCATCCAAAGAAGATGTGCAAAGCTGCCAACAATAAAATACAAGCTTTTTAACAAGCCCTCTTGAAAAAAGAAAAGAGAAAGCTTTATAAAGCCTTATATAGCGTGGTGTATCTTGGACTCAATGGTCATGTTTTCTGCCTTTATTGCAGTGCCTGGACCTGAAGGATATTCATCTTGCCTATCAGCTACATAGCGTTTTGGAGACACCAGGGAACAATAAAATGATAGGAGACATGATGCAGAAAACCTCTTACTAGTAATTATTGCTTTTTCCTCTTAATTTCTCCATTCTCTTGTCAGCACTTCTGTTTGAGGCATAATGTTATTGCCTGCAATGTTACTATAGTAGCAAGTTTACAATGGTACTTGAGAAGATGTGCGAACCAATTGTACAGGTGTGGATGATTATGGAGGGAATTAATCTCAGGCCTCAATTGTGTATAAGAATATATTAAAGAGGAGGCCAATTATTACTTTTAAATTAAGGTAACTGCCACCAACGTGAGGTATTTGAGGTACCACTGATGAGATCTGGCTCTACAGACGCAGGTTAGATGAGATGAGACGGTTTTTAACAAAAGATAACAAGTTTATTGTGTAAAAAGCGTATGGTTGCAGGCTGTTAAATAACTTATAGAACTTTGAATATCACTTGGTTTTAATACAGTCCACTCTTTCAAATAACACAGCTCGTGGCTAACTTTTACTGAGGTGAAGCTCTTTAGTGAACAATGTTTCCTACTATGAATAGCCTTCTAATTTGATCTTTCCTTGATCAAATCTCTGATCTCTAGTCCTTCCTTGACTAGGGATCTTAACAAGCTTCCTTGACTAAAGAAACTGGCCAGGTTTCTCTCTTCAGCCCTTCTAGACTGAGAAACCTCCAGCTGCTCACACACACCTCTCTCCCAGGCTTTTCAAGCCTCCACACTCACTCACACACTCCCCTTTTTCCAAAGACGCACATAACTTCTTCTGCTTGGCTCCGCCCACTTCTCACTCTCCTGAGCTAGCCTGCCTGGTCTCCTTGGCAACGCTCACTGTGGATTCAAACCAGATAACTCTAGTTTTAGCTACTGTTACAAACACAAACATATACTCTAACATTTAAACACATACATAGTATCAATGACTTCTGCACAGTACTTGGTTTTGATTTTGAAGCCAGAATATTTGGGGGAGTATTTATCAATATAGAAACCTGCACAACTGTGGAAAGGTCCCCAGTTTGCTTGATGGGCTTGTCCCCATGTAAGCTGCCCCGAGTCCCCTTGGGGAGATGGTGGCGGGGTATAAAAATAAAGTAGTAGTAGTAGTAGTAGTAGTTATTATTATTATTTGAAACACAGCAAGATGAGTACACAGCAAACAAGGTCACTATGCTGGCTGTTGTATTGGATCACATATCAGACACTTCCCAATTATTATTATTATTATTATTATTATTATTATTATTATTATGTCTGTGTGTGAAAGGAAAGAGAGAAATATGAACTGGAATGGGAAGAGATTGTCAGAGTTTATTTTGAAACTCCCATTTTGGGCTGATTTAAATCTGTGTCTTCAGATTTTAAAAACAACAACAAAACATACTAGTTATATCAAGATAGCAGGTTTTGAATTTGTTTCAGTTCTGAGAAGCAAACAAATTCTGAAAATTTTCAAATTATGAAGAACTAGCTGTCCCCTGCTATGCGTTGCTGTGGCCCAGTCAGGTGATCTGGGAAATAAAGTAATGAAAAAGTGTTGGTTTCTAATATATGTAATTTCTTTATGCTTGTGGGTAAACACTATTTCTTGCTGTTTCTTTGTCAGTGTTGATGTGGAGATTGTCTGATTTGCCTTCTCTGGAACTTGCAACATATAATTGTCCTTCTTTAGGAGTCCCTTTCAAATCTAGGGTACTATATCACTGTTTGTGTGAATCATATATATCTATATCTAAGGCTGGATGGCTCTTTGCCAGGAGGGCTTTGATTAGATTTTCTTGCCCCAGTGAAGGGAATTGGACTGGATGGCCTTAAGTATTTGCTGTTGGCCATGGGGGTTCTGGGTGGGAAGTGTGCCCCAATTCTGTCGTTGGTGGGGTCAGAATGCTCTTTGATTGTAGGTGAACTATAAATCCCAGTACCTACAACTTCCAAATGTCAAGGTCTATTTCCCCCAAACTCCATCTGTGTTTATATTTGGGCATATTGAGTATTCATGCCAAGTTTGGTCCAGATCCATCATTGTTTGAGTCCACAGTGCTCTCTGGATGTAGGTGAACTACAACTCCCAAACTCAAGGTCAATGCCCACCAAACCCTTCCAGTGTTTTCTGTTGGTCATGGGAGTCCTGTGTGCTAAGTTTGGTCCAATTCCATCATTGGTGGAGTTTAGAATGCTCTTCAATTGTAGGTTAACTATAAATCCCAGGACCTACAACTCCCAAATGAAAAAAAAAATCATTTTTTTAGTCACTCCTTGGGTTAGTAGGTGTCTTGTGGCCAAATTTGGTGTCAATTTGTCCAGTGGTTTTTGAGTTCTGTTAATCCCACAAACAAACATTACATTTTTATTTATATAGATTCTATTGTCAGCTACTTAGAGTTTATTGAGAAGTTATGACATATATTCCATAAAACAACAGATTAAATGTTTATATTTGCTGGGGTTTTAATAATTTGCTATTTTATTTATTTATTTATTTATTATTTATTTATTTATTTATTTACTTTATTTGTATACCGCTGTTCTCAGCCCTTAGGCGACTCACAGCGGTTAACACAAGAACAGCAAAAATTCAATGCTACAATAACACAGTATAAAAAAACAGTTAACATCATAACACATTATATAATAATATACAATTAACAACAATAGCCTATTTCTTCCTTTGCTGCAGTGGAAGGTTTTTCACCTTGTTGTGCATGATGGAACAGCTGGATGTAGTACTGAAGTGGTATAAGGAACTGGCTCCTTCAGTAAGTATGTGTTAATATTTGTGTGAGAATGTGTTGGGAGGCTGCTGAATTGAAATGGTTGTGATCTAACTGCCTTCATCATCTTTACTTGTTCCATCAGATGTTTTACCCTAATTCTAAAGGGATGCAGGATCTTCTTCAAGCATTGGACACAGGCAATCGTTTGGAAATGATTCCCCAGATCTGGAAAGGTTAATATTACTTTTGTCTTCTTATTATTGGCAGAGTTTATTATTTATTTGTTTATATTTATTATGCATTTATTATTACACAGCCCCACAAAACAAAAATCTTGGTGTTTTGGTTTTTAGGCCTGTACCTGGGATTATTTGGGGCACTTGGATAGACGCATCAACTCTATTTTCTTAGATATGGTTATCATGGTTTTCTATGGGTGATCAGATGGCATATGTTCTGCATCTCCAAAGCTAAATTGAAATTGAATCCAGACAAGACAGAGGTACTCCTGGTCAGTCGCAAGGCCGAACGGGGCATAGGGTTACAGCCTGTGCTGGATGGGGTCGCACTCCCCTTGAAGGCGCAGGTTCGCAGCTTGGGTGTGACCCTGGACTCATCGCTGAGCCTGGAACCCCAGGTTTCGGCGGTGACCAGGGGAGCATTTGCACAGCTAAATCTTGTGCGCCAGCTGCGCCCGTACCTTGGGAAGTCTGACTTGGCCACGGTAGTCCACGCTCTGGTTACATCCCGTTTAGACTACTGCAACGCTCTCTACGTGGGGTTGCCTTTGGACGGCTCGGAAGCTTCAACTAGTCCAACGTTCAGCAGCCATGATACTAACAGGAGCAGGACGCAGGGAGCATACAACCCCCCTGCTGTACCAGCTCCACTGGCTGCCGATCTGCTACTGGGCTCAATTCAAGGTGCTGGCATTGCCCTATAAAGCCCTAAACGGTTCCAGCCCAAGATACCTAACTGACCGCCTCTCAGCCTATGAGCCCACGAGGACTTTGAGATCTTCCGGGGAGGCCCTGCTCTCGATCCCGCCTGCCTCACAGGCACGGCTGGTGGGGACGAGAGATAGGGCCTTCTCGGTGGTGGCTCCTCGGCTGTGGAACACCCTTCCCGTGGACATCAGGCTAGCCCCCTCCCTGCTAATATTCCGCAGGAAGTTAAAGACCTGGCTATTTAAGAAGGCATTTGATCAAGAAGTGCAATGACTGGCAATTGACCATAGGAATGGAACAACGGAAATGATATCGGATTGTGGCTTGACGATGAGACGATTCGGAATGTAGTAGTAATTTTGTAGTAATGTTGTTGTTTTGATAAGATGTTTTTTATGATTATGATGAATTGTAGACTGTTTTGCACTATGCTTTGTAGATTGCACTTGTTTTTTCATGTTGTACACCGCAATGAGTCGCCCCTGGGCTGAGAATTGCGGTATATAAGCGCAGTAAATAAATAAATAAATAAATAAATAATAAATAAAATGGTGCCATTTTTGGAACCAACAGATCAACTATACCCAGAAACAGGGCTAACATTTGAGGCACCAAAAGTTGTGTTGGCCAGTGGTGTTTATAGTCTGCTTTTTTCTCTTAAAAGAGACTCAAAGTAGATAACAATGTTTAAAATAACAACAATGAAGCAAGAGATCTTCCAAATTTAGTGAGGAAATGTTACATTGGTTAAGTTAACCTCTTTTGGGGTCATCAGATTTTGAATATTCATTAAGAACATATTCACATTAATGCTACTAGGCTGAACCATGTATCAGGAGTGTTTGTTGTATACAACCTCACAGTATTGCTTAGCCTCAACGTTCTGTCATTAGAGTACACGTCCCGTCCCCCCCTCGTGGGAAAGCTTGATTCCACAACCCCCGCTATAATGAGTCCTCCGCAAATAACCTGCTTCTTCTTATCTCACCCGAGTTTTTAATTAGTTTTATTTTAATCATTACATGCAGCCCGCCCATTGTCATTGTGTTTATTGTAATTTTATATTGTTATGCATTTTCATGTTTTATGTAATTATGATGTTGTGGTTTATTTCTTGCATTTCCGTTTTGTGTTTTCGGTTTTATTTTGCTGTAATTCTGTTGTTTGGGCTTGGCCTCATGTAAGCCGCACTGAGACCCCATCGGGGAGATGGTGGCGGGGTATAAATAAAGATTATTATTATTATTATTATTATTATTATTATTATTATTATTATTATTTGTTGTGCTGATGTATATCTGTACTGTCATTGCACAGTCCTATACATGTTAATATCAATGAAGAAAAATGCTGCTGCACGTACATACTAGTCCAGCATTAATAAGAAAACATGTAACTGGGTTGTTGTAGGTTTTTCTGGGCTATATGCCATGTCCTAGAGGCATTTTCTCCTGACGTTTCGCCTGCATCTATGGCAAGCATCCTCAGAGATAGTGAGGTCTGTTGGAACTAGGAAAATGGGTTTATATATCTGTGGAATGACCAGGGTGGGACAAAGGGCTTTTGTCTGCTGTAGCTGGGTGTGAATGTTTCAGCTGACCACCTTTAGCATTGATGGCCTGGCAGTTGTTTGGTGTGGCTTGGTGTGGTAAATAGAGACACCACATCAAAGCTGATCAGTTATTTAGCTTGAGATTTTTTCTATGAAGTGGGCTGTGTCCTTGATGTAGTGTGTAGTGAGCCCAATATGGCTTTGTAACTGTGCAGCAAGAAATGTGCAGCTGTGGACAAGTCTACATAGGGACCACCAAACGCAGCATTGCCCAAACACGAATCAAGGAACATGAAAGGCACTGCAGACTACTTCAACCAGAGAAGTCAGCCATAGCAGAGAACCTGATGAAACAACTTGGACGCAGCATATTATTTGAGAACACAGAAATGCTGAGCCACTCTCACAATCACCATGTCAGACTACACAGAGAAGCCATTGAAATCCACAAGCATGTGGACAATTTCAACCGAAAGGAAGAAACCATGAAAATGAACAAAATCTGGCTACCAGTATTAAAAAAACTCAAAAATTACAACAGCAAATAAGAGAATAAACAATCAGGCACATCAAATCACCTCTCTACAAGAGTTTCCCCCAGGCTTTTCCAAGCCATTAAATGCTAATCAAGGTGGTCAGTTGAAACATTCACACCCACCTACAGCAGACAAAAGCCCTTTTCCCACCCTGGTCATTCCACAGATATATAAACCCATTTTCCTAGTTCCAACAGACCTCACTACCTCTGAGGATGCTTGCCATAGATGCAGGCGAAATGTCAGGAGAAAATGCCTCTAGAACATGGCCATATAGCCCGGAAAAACCTACAACAACCCAATGATTCTGGCCATGAAAGTCTTCGACAATACAACAAACATGTAACTGTTTCTAACACTGGCACAACTTGTAGTTTTTCATTACCATCACACAGCAGCACTGTTAGTCTCAGGTTTCTTTGGGAAGTTGTATGTCACAATTTCTGCCTGGAATAAAATTTGTTGGGTTTAACATGTCATTGTTTATTTCTATTTGCCTTTTCCTTGTCTATAGATGTCAAACAGTTTGGACACAGCCGTAGACCTGGCATCGTGGAAGAAGTTCTGGCTCTCATGGCCAGAGACAAACAGACTCCAGAGGTGAGTCTGGATGGTGCTTCGTTGCACAGAAATTTGG